CATGATACATGCAGTGAGTCAGGCACTTGGAAGACGTCACAAAGCAAGACGGAGTCCAGGAAAGTATTTGGAAATACCATAGATACTGCCCTCCTGCTCTTCTTCCATTGAGGAAGTCCAAAGATCTGCAGTTCGATTTGTGAGTCACCAGAACTCAGTCAGCCAGCAGTCACTAGATCTCAAGAAACTCGCTGTAGGACATTGGTGTGCTCAGAAACACAAATGACTTTCTTAAAGCTAAACCGAATGAGAAATTGTCACTCAGATCGTTTATCACTGGAGGACCTGTGAGTCAGGTGTAAGCGTAAACTGCTTTCTTTGGTAATCAAGGCCCTGGGTGTGGCGATTCCTTAAGGATGGTTTTTATCAAGCCCTCCCAAGGACTTGGTCCTCCTTGGTCTTTTCAGCATTCAGTGCAAATACCTAAAAAGTGGTCTGGAGCAATTGACTTGATGAAGGTGTCCTGGGTGGGTTGGAATGGTAGCAAATTTGATTCATATTCACACTGGTCTGGATTATATATGTTGACTCTGTGTCTTTCTTCATATACTCAAAAATGTCTCCCTACCAAAACCTCTTTACAAAGACTTTCCAGAAACTTCTCCTTGTTCTCATCTTCCCACCTTCAAACTCAAAGCACAATATTAGATGAAGGGTAAATAGTTTATCCAGGCAAAATCAATCAGAGTCACCCTCCATGGAGCAAGAGACTGGGACTCAGTCACTGGGTTGGTAGCTCAGAGGAAAGGAAACAGAGTCATGCAGACTTAGGGAAGGGTCTAGCTGTGCAGAGGTGAAGGTGTTGGAAACTACCTGCAAGCACGTGAAAAAAATCTGCTGGTAAAGGTAAAGTGGACCCATGTGGATACTACCCGGAAGTGCGTTCTTCCCATGAGGCGTTGCTGCCTTTCTTACGGTTGTTTCTGTGGGATCCTTTCGCATCCTCACAATAAACTCATGTGAGCATCCTTGAGAGCTCCCTCGCTAAAACATCTCTGGCCACACTGGTATTTTGTTTTGAACTCACCCTGGTCCCAGGCCTGTAGAGGCCACAGTCACCTTCTACCTTGGGGAGTGTCTAGTTGGTCTAAGTTCTGCTGATGGCAGGGAATAAAAGAGAAAGAGACAGACACAGAAACTCCGGAGAAGTAAACAGTGAGTAAGGCTGTGGAGAAGATCAAAGTTCTCTCTTCCCCAAACAAGAAGGTGGGGCACGCTACTGCCTTTGAAGCGTGCGCTGTCTTTTCTCATTACCTTAGGGGGGGTCGTCAGTTATTTCATATATATCTGGAGCAAGAAATCCTACAAGAGTCCCTGAAGCCTGGCCTCATTCCTTTACTGCAAGAGGAAGCCTGATTAAAAACCGACCCAAGCAAATGGGTACGCAAACACGTGCACACAACTTAAATTGCTTTCATAGGTACCAAATTCCTATGGCATTTAAACCAACCATCGCAGACTATTAATAAGAAAATCCTTCTGGAGACATATTGGAACAATTCTATCAGCAAACAGTTCTAAAAAGGAACTAGCTACCAAGGGACAGGATTGCATTTAAGATGGGAAAGAAAAGGGATTGTCTCAGTCTGGAGGTTTGTTGTTGTTTTTAATAATCTTACATGTGAAGAGTTGTCCTTATAAAAACTACACTTTACTAGGAAGTCCCTTGATCTTGAAATTAGAGGAGTTTTTTTTTTCTTTTCTTTTTAATTAGGAGGAAATACGAGGGAGGTATGTGCATAGAAGCATCCAATAAGAAAGAGGATAAAGAGGTGTGGGGCTTTGGCAGCGAGGTGCAGCTCTTGTAAAGGAGGAGGATTACAGAGTTAAAGAGCAGGAAAAAAAAAACCAAAACAAAAGAATTGTTTGAAACAAACCAGCAAGATTATGGAATAGATGCTATCGGGCTGCACAACCTCAACAGGTTTGTTTGTCTGTGGTACTGTGCCTCAGACGACTCCCACCTGAGAAAGCCGGGCTTCCCTCCAAACAGCAACATTCTCTGGGAACTCAGCGTTGAACAAGTAAATCCCGGAAAAGAGGATTGGGAAGAAGGGAAAAGTAGAGGAAGAAAGAGAATGGAGATCTGAGCCCTCCAGAGCTGGGCATGAGAACAAGCAGGAGCTGTGCATCCCAGCAGACCTCAAGGCCTCTGGAACATCTTACACAGCTTGAAGCTGTAGGTTCAAGACTGCACGGGGATGCTCTCTCAGGGTTGGTGATCTTAATGAGATTATTAGCAGTGACCACAGGGACTGATTGAACTTGCCAACAAGATATGATTTTGTTTGCCTCTTGCTTACTATGCTACAAGATTTCTACATTTTACTCAATACCAAGAATTCAGACCTCCTGGCCCATGATATGACACTAATGTAGTATTTGACATTCAGTTAATTCCTTTCTACTGTGATCCAGAGTAGGGAGCTCCAAACTGGTCCTAGGGGTGGGACTGGATATTTTCTTATCCAAGTATGCAAGAACCTTTTTGGTTCTCGTGTTTTGGGCGGTTTTGTTTTCCTGTTTGCTTGTTTGTTTTGGTTTTTTTTTTGTTTGCTTGTTTGTTTTGTTTTTTGGGTTTTTGTTCCCCATAAGAAACTAGTTCTGGTTACTCCTGAGTCACAAGAACAGATTTGCACACTATCTTTCAAGCCACGTGTTGTCTGCTCTAGGTGTCACCACGGTCCAGGTAACTTCTGTTCTCCTTTCCCATAATGGTTCCTTCTTTAACTCTTTTATGTTCCTTGATGGTTACCCTTATTTCCTCGAATGAATAAGGGTTTCAGAACTGTTTTTGAAAAGCAGTTACTGCTGGCACTAACTTACAGGGCTGAGTTGAGCCCAGGGTCTCCTAGTCACATAGCCTAGGTGCCCATGGGGCAAGTTCCACTGAGCTACTAAGCCCTTAGAGTGTTTTGATATCAAAAAGGTTAGAGTGGGGTCCCTATGGAACCTCAGCCCACTATCGCGAATGAAAATCTCATTGAGCTAGTAAGAGACAGATCTGGGTTTCAAATATAGATATTCTACAGCAGAAATAATAAATAATGTTTTTTATTATTATTACAGCATATATTTTCCAGAACCTCTGTTTAAAATGGACTTATCCCTAGAGAGTTTTAGCAGAGGGAAGATAGAGGTAAGCTTGCAGAATCACTACCCCCAAAGCTGTTGCCTGATAAAGCTACACACTTAAGAAAGATTTTTAAAAAAAAAAAAATGGCAAGGAATAAAGCTCTGGGGTATTAGAGTATTAGAATATTCCTAACACTGATCCTGATCTCTCGAACCTGGCGCTGGAGTTAGTTCACCCCTCCCAATGCTCACCTTTGAGTATAGGGTCCCGTCCCACCCACACCTCACACACTCCTTTTGGCCATTGCAGGAGGGAAGTGTTTTTGGCAGGCACGTTTTTCATTTCCGAGCCTTCGCATCCCATCTTTCTCACCTCCCCCTGCCTGGTCACACTCAGGCACACACACTCCCAATGTGAGGCCAGCAAGCTGATGCCGGGAACATGGGCCCTTACATCGAGAAGTGAGCTGTGTAAACTAGCATGTATGGGAGATTGTCTGAAGAAATAGCGAGGCCCCAAGCACTCCTAGAAAAAGAGCTTTGGGCTCCACACTACTGTAAGTCTCAGACAGGTTGCCATGCGTGTTTTATACAGACCTTCCATGCACCAGACAGGGAAGTCTCACGAGAATCACGACTGTATTGGTTATCCATTGTCTCCCTTTCCTCTAATGCCATCTCCTGTAATGCAAGTGTTGAGTATTGACTGAATATTGACTATATTCTAACAAGTGAGTTAACTGGCTTACCTGCAGATGGAGTGTTTGGTTAAGTAAATTTTATGTTTTTACATAATGTATGCGGTTAGAACCTGCCTTTGAAATTCTTCTGTATGCATGCATAGACACAGTGGTTGACTTAAACTAACAAACATCTGCTAAGTACCAAACCATAGGAGCAAGACTGTTGACACAAGCTGAGTTTTCATCAAGGTTCTACATCTTGCTGGCTATGGGATTTTGGACAAGTTCTCCAACCCCTGAGCCTCAGTTCCACCATCTGTAGACTTGGGGTAATAAACCCCATTGCCTAGGACTGTTGTGAGGATCCTTCCCCATGATATGAGGTCATGGGTGAGAAATGCTTGGCACGGGTCCCGCTGGAGAGCTCGCACTTCTCAACTAGCGCCTATTATTGCCATTACTGTTATGAAACTGAGACTGTCTCGGGCTCTCCCAGAATGACAGATCCAGGATGGACTCACAGCAACCCACAGCCCGAGTCATTTGGAAAAGGTGTGGCTGCAAACAGAAAGCAACGACTGGCTTGTAGTTTTGCCCAAGAGAAAATGAGACAAAGAAAGACAGGCTCTTGGGCACCCAGCTGTTGTCTGAGCTCACCATGTTTGCGTCAGTGCCCTGATGCTGGTGTGGTAAGTTGTTGACAGAGAATTCCTTGTCCCTATCAAATACAAATACTCAAGAGGTTCAGTTTAAGAGCCCTCCCCCACCCCCCTTTTTTTTTTGACTGCCTGTTGTAATCCAATAGCTAGAGCCAAGATTATCTTTCTGAGTGATTATATCCTGGGAGGAAGAATCATGGCCTAGAGTCCAGTTAAGGAGATTTAGACCCTTGTCATCTAGAGAATTCCAGCTAATGAACCCTCAGGCAGCAGGAAATGATTTTTAGGCAGCTGAGAAGACATCCATTCTTTAGAAAAATCACCCCCCTGGTTGGGCCTCTGTGGATTACCCTCTGGAGCCCCTGTCTGGTTTCCCCCACACACTGTTTCTTCCTCTGGTCACCCCTTCTTAGGAGACTGGGGGAAAAAGAGACTGGTCTTCCAAGGTTACTGAACTTATCTCTTTTCCCTTGCAATGCAAACAACTGTGTGAAGGCCACCCAGATTCTGCAATTAAAGAGGAACTTGCAGAGCAGAGCACAGGCCAAGGCTGTTTCATATTCTGCCAAGCTGAGGCTCAAGTTGCCTCTGTGGGAGAATGCCCCAGCCTTTGGGAACTAAGCAGACTGCCTGGCCAAGGAAGCAGGCACTGCGGCCCTAGGCACTTTTCTTGTCTCTAAGCAGGGCTCTGGAACCAGGCAGTGTCTGCTTGAGGACCACAAGTTGAAAGAGCTTTGGTGTTAACAACGGAGACCTACACGGGAAAATCCAGTAGCTGTGGTTCTCAGGGTATGGCCCGGACCAGTTGCCGCAGCATTACCTGGGAAATGGTTGCAAGTATGAATTCTTGGACCTCACCCCATTCCTGTCTACTGATTCAGAAACTCTGAGGGTGGAGGAAGCAAAGGCTTCTAAAATCCTCCTTGTTTTGAAATCAGGTGCACGCAAAAATTTGAGAACTACTGATACTAGGGATGAAGAAGGCCATTTCAATGACAGATCTTAGGAGAATTCAAGGTACGTTAACCAGGTATGCCTCTCTCTGTTTGTTACCTGCCATCTACCTCCAGGCATAGTGACATACACCTTTAATCCCAGCTGTTGGGAGGCAGAGGCAGGCAGATCTCTGTGAGTTCAAGGCCAGCCTGGTCTATATAGTGAGTTTCAGGACAGTCAGGGCTACGTAATAAGAGCTAGTGAGACCCTGTCTCAAAAAAAAGAAAGAAAGAAAGAAAGAAGGAAGGAAGGAAGGAAGGAAAGAAAGAAAGAAAGAAAGAAAGAAAGAAAGAAAGAAAGAAAAAGAGAAAGAGAGAGGGGGAGAGAGAGAGAGAGAAAAGAACAGGAGGAGGAGAAAAAAGGAAGGGGAAAAGAGGGGTAGGAAGGGGATGGGAGGGGAAGGAAAGGGAAAGTGGAGGTAGCCTGCAAGATAGACAGAGTTAATATTCAAGAAAAAAGAATACTTGGACCTGTTTGAGTGATATACAGATTGTTCTCTTCTATTCATTTATTAATTTTATCAGTACATTATGGAAGTTTCTAATATGTATCCTCCAAAAAGTCATCATTAGGTATGGGATTCCCAAACTGACAAATGAGAACTGTCTGGGAAAGACAGGAATAGAGAGGGAAACAGGAGGATTCCCAGCACTGAAGGTTGGGCCAGACCTCACCAGGTCTCCATGTGCTTCAAAGGACCAAATAAGGTGAGCTTTAAAAAGGGGGAGGGGGGTTGAGAAGTAGAAAAGACCGAGAGAGGGAAGAGTGGGCCTGGACACATTCACCCCACCGTTTGGGGTGCTCGGAACAAAAGGTCAAATGGGGACACTTAGACGGTGAAGTTTACAATCAAATGGATCTCAAGGGGAAGGCTCCAAAGTAAATTGCATAGCATCCTCGTACCTTGACGAGCAAATTTGTTTAGCAAATTGGAAAGCCAAGGTTGGCAAATTCAGAATTCTTAAGAGTTCCATAGTGCTGAGAGGCAAGAGGAGAGGCCACTTATTCCAGTCTACCAGTCCACGGACTACTCCTTGCTTCTCGCTAACTTGTTCCCCACCATGAGGGGCTCCAATCACGCATGGATAAGCCACCCCATGGATAAGCTACAACCCTTGTAAGCAGCCCCCCCCCTTCTACTGTTTAGTTCTGTAAAGGACACAGAAGAAGCCAGAACCACAGGCAGGCTCTGGAAATAGGCTCAAGGTGTTTGAGGCAGCGAATTCTGTAGTCTTGGTTTCTTGAAACATGTGGAAGCTTAATCTACATGATCACATTATGGTCTGTGGAATATTAAAACCCTGGGGAAAACAAAGAATTCAAGAGTAGATCCTCTAGGAATGAGTCCAAGATAGAGGCCATTATGCCCAGGTCCAAAAATGGCACCAGATAGAAAAAGGAGGAAAAGCTAAGGAAGTAAGGAAGACAGAAAGAATGATGGTGAGTGAGACTTTAGAAACCCTAGAGACACACAATACAAGCACAGTCTCCATTATAACTAGAACACTAGACACTGGAAGAATAATGGAAGGAAGGAAGGAAGGGAGGGAGGGAGGGAGGGAAGGAGGTGATGGAGGAGGGTTAACTGTCTATGTGTTACTTTCATTGGTTAATAAAGAAACTGCCTTGGCTTTTGATAGGACAGCAGCTTGGATAGGTGGAGTAGACAGAACAGAATGCTGGGAGGAAGAAGGCAATGAGGCAGTCGCCATGACTCTCCTCTCCGAGACAGATGCAGGTTAGAATCCTCCTGGTAAGCCACTACCTCATGGTGCTACACAGACTATTAAAAATGGATTAGATCAATATATAAGAGTTAGCTAATAAGAGGCTACAGATAATGGGCCAAACAATGTTTAGAAGAATACAGTTTCCGTGTAATTATTTCAGGGGTAAAGCTAGTTGGGAGGCGGGCGGCCTGCCGCTCCTTCTACAGAATGGCGTCCAACATGGTAACTAAATCCACTTAAAAACCTGAGAGAGCTTAAAAATAAGGGAAAGAGAGTTTAACACAGATTTTGCTGTTTGCTAGGGCGTGCTGTAGAGAGATTTCCTGTTTCAGCATTAGCGGCAGAAAAAAAGCTGCGCCATTTTAAACTGCAGCCTCCTGGGTCCTGCCGCCGGTGCAAACTCCGGCTATGGAGCATTTCTGGGCCCAGATGTTTGTGTTCCCACTCCGGCTCGGGATCAGGAGGAAAATACTCTGAGACCATGCCTGCTCTCCCCACCTGGGCAGACTGTGGGACCAGGCTTAGGCAGACGGGAGAGCATGGAGGATTTCTGCCGCCATACAGAGAGATGTTTCCAGGCTGTGCAGTGCTCTGCCTGTCAGATTTGGCTGTTACTTGGATGAAAAGAGTTTCTGTGTTGCACACTCAGTCTCAGGATTAAACGATTGAGCGAGGCTCCAATGTGGACCTGCTGTGTGCCTGGAACTGTGCTCGGCTCTGAGGCTGGAGCAGCTCTGGCTCCTCTCAGCCAGGCTAAACTATGCTGTCCTCAGGCAGGAATGATCGTAATTATCATAGTAAAAGTGCAGTTAAGGTTTAGACTGGAAATAGGCGGTACTGTATTACCTCTACATGGTGCAACTTAAGTTTTTAAGAACTGCTTAGCATATTAAGAAATGCTCCTGGATACTAAAAATATTACAGATTCACAATAGGACAGATTCAGACATACAAGACCTATAAACGGGTCACAATGTTAGATGACTATACATAGGCTTGGGAGAGAAAAGAAAAAGAATATAAAAAATAAAGTTAATGCCTTAAAAAAAAGGATAAAGTCTTTAAAGAGACAGAGTACAGATACTTATAGATTAAAAAAATAAATAAAAATAAACCACGTAAAAATGGAAAATTCACAGAGAGTCTGAATTCTGTACATTATGTTTTCTTTAAAATTTTTGACTATGAAGGAGCTAAGTACAGAGAGACATTTCATTATATGGGCTGCCAAGCTAAACTAGAATGGATATCATAAGGGTATAATGACTTTCAAATTTGGGTCTAAGGATATGATGCTTTGGAGAGGGTCTTTTGTTTTCACAGAGGATGAGACCCTATGGATTGTTTCTATCCCAATATGGTATGATAGACCACGTCCTCCTGAAAGGTTGCTGTGAACACCCTCAAGAAATTACTTCATTCAACTGCCAACTGAGATGAACCACAGGTTATCATAAAAGACCTGATTAACAGCACCCCTATTCAGCAGAAAAAAGTTTGGAGAGAAATAACTGCGCCCATATTCCCAACTATTGTTTATAAATGTTCTTTTACATTTAAAGGGGGATATGATATAGATATGAATAATTTGCATTGGTATGGAATTTAAGGTCAATTTTGTTATATGTATATGTATTTCTGATCTTGATTAAGGTATTGTGATTATGTAGTTCATTTAAAAATGTAATGTATAATAAGAAATATAGGTTGTTAATGGATAATTATCAATAATAGTCAATCTTGTAGTCATGTTAATTAGATTTTCTAGATATATAGAGATATATTTCAGTTAGATAGACATTCCTCATATCTTTCAAAGACTTCAGAATATGGCATTTAATGTTTTAATAACTTAGGGCTTTTCATGGCAATGTGACATGTCTGTTCCTGGCAGCACCAATCTACTTCAAGAGGAAGATGGGCATCGAAGAGGCTCCTTATGGAGTTTGATAGCCATTTGGGCAAGAAACTGCTCTTGCCTGGACTGATGCATAGACTGGATACAAAGAACCCACAGAGAGAGGACTACTGAACTTGTCTAAAGGTGAGATGGTCTTTCAGGGTTCCTGATTCATAAAAGAGTCTGCGAGACATTCTGCAGGGCACAGCAGATAGTGACTGAACTGCCTTTGAAATTTCCTGCTTCATGGAAAAGTCTGCTGGATACTGTGGGCCTGTAGGCTGAAGATGGATGCCCCAACGGTACAAAAAAACTTTGGGTGACTGTACAGGCAGCAAGATGTCTCTGTCATTTCTAGAGTTTGAAAGTTGCTTATTTCTTGTTTACTTAGGTAATATTATATCCTTCTGGAGTCTTTGATGGAGTTGAAGAATGATTAGTTATAGTTATAGTTTTCCTTAGTTATGATAAAAGATAAAATAGATATAGATATTTTAACTATAATTCTTTCTTGATAACTGTTTTGTTATATACAATTTTACTATGTTAAAATGAAAGTCTTTCTTTTTTGTTTAAGCAGAAAAAGGGGAAATGATGGAGGAGGGCTAACTGTCTATGTGTTACTTTCATTGGTTAATAAAGAAACTGCCTTGACTTTTGATAGGACAGCAGCTTAGATAGGCAGAGTAGACAGAGCAGAATGCTGGGAGGAGGGCAATGAGGCAGATGGCATGCAGCCAGCCACCAGGTCAGACATGCTGAATCTCTCCCAGTAAGCCAAGACCTCGTGGTGATATACAGATTATTAGAAATGGGTTAATTAAGATGTGAGAGTTAGCCAGTAACTAACTCTGTAGAGATAACGGGCCAGGCAGTGTTTAAATGAATACAATTCGTGTGTTGTTATTTCTCGGGCTAAGCTAGCCATGCAGGATCCAGGCAGGAATACAGCCTGCTTCTTCATTCTACAGGGAGGGAGGAAGGGAGGGAGGGAGGAAGAGAGGGAGAGAGGGAGGAGAAAGAAAGAAGGAGGAGGGGGAGGAAAGAGAATTCACGACCACAGATGAGCATTTTATCTAGAACAAGCAAAAGGGTATTTTATAGATAAACAACTGAGTAGCAAATTTACACAGAAAACAGGTAACTTGCTGTGGTATTTGAGCCTTTATAATGTGAGATCGCTTAGCTTCTGGTAACACAGAAACTGCATTTGTGAAGGTTGCTATGGCCAATTATTTTCATGCATATTTATTTTTAGTTTTGTTGTTTACTGTTTAGTCAACAGAGAATACGCTGCGTTTTCTCTGGAAATGCAATGAGGTTAGGTAAGCTGCTCCCTGCTGAGCATTTTGCTTGTGGGACAGAGGTCCAAGGCCATCCAGAGAAGCATTCCAGCCTTTCAAAATTGTTCCTTCAGCTATTAGTTTTTGGAGAGGAAAAAAAAAATAACTTTCTAGGATAAAATCAACAGAGTGAATCATAGTGGGAAATTTTTGAAAAACACCGTGAGAAATATAAATAAAAGTCAGCTGGGAACTAGGTATGTTACAAATATGGCGGATGCAGCTAGGCATGTTACAAACATGGCAGATGCAGCTAGGTATGTTACAAACATGGCAGATGAAGCCAGGTATGTTATAAACATGGCAGATGAAG